CTACAAGAAAGGTCCCAGTGAAGAAGAAAGAAAGTGTGTCTGCTATACAGAGGATGGGGGTGAGAGAAGGAGACAGAGGCTGTCTATAGTAACTATAGACAATACAAAAACAAAGGCCGATCAAAACTCTAAGAAAACCCATCAACTTTCTAAGAAGAGAAAAACGTATCTGGAAAAAACCACCTAAGGACAAAGGGTTTATTTTGGCTTGCGGTTTCAGAGATCTGGGGGCAGGCATACCTGGCATGTTCTATTACTCTGAGGTCTGAGGCAAGGCAGAATCATCAGGGCAAGACGATTGTGGCAGGAGAAAGCTGCCTGTCTCGTGGTGGCCAGGAAGCAGGGTGACAGAAAGAAAAGAATCTGAGTAGGAGTTGGAGAGATGGCTCAACAGTTGAGAACATGCATCATTCTTGCTGATGACCAAGTTAGCAGTACCCACATAGAGATCTCACAATCTTGCAGCTCCAGCTACAGGAAATCTCAGGCCTCTGGCCTCCAAGGTACATGCATTCATGTACTCATACACACACTCACATATACACACTATTACAGATAATTCAAATATTTTTTTAAAAGGCAGTGGACAATATATACCCTTCAAAGGCATAACCTCAGTGACCCATCTCCTCCCACTACACACCAGTTCCTGATAGTCCATTGTCAACTACAAGTTCATCGCTGCCTTAATCCAGGAATGTCCTCATAATCCAATCATCTCTTAACAGAGCCACCAACTGGAGATCAAGTGTTTAACACATAAGCTTTTGGGGACATTTTATATCTAGAACATAAAATTACTCAGTCATAGAAATACAAAAAATTGATCATTACTTTAATTACAAATCATGTGCCTACAGGACCAGAGTGGAGAGGAGACACTTAACCAAGTTAGGGCCAGTGAATCTGAGCCTAAGTTGTTGTTAAGGTTTATGGGAAAGATCCTTAAAAGGTTAAAAACACTCTGGGCATCCCCCCCTTTCCTTTCTCGTGCCTCTTCCCCGCCAGATGTGAAGACTCCAGGATTTTTATGGTGAATTTGTAATTGTTTGGATCCAAGTTCCTTCTATCTTTCTGTTCTTACATCTGGTTTTCCTTATTCAGGAGATAAACAAATCTTTATCTTGTTTAAGTAATTTTTACTGGGTCTCTGTACTGGCAGCCGAATATAGTTTCTCTCTGATACAAGACATATAGCAAATTGTTTGGAGGCACAGAGCTGACTGTGGAAGCCCAGGCTTCTCCAGCTGTGTAAGATAACTCATGATGAGTTGTGCTTGTTGTGCAGTCATGCATGTGCGTGTGTGTGTGTGTGTGTGTGTATGCATGTGCATGTGTATGTGGGGGGGACAGGGCATGTGTGTGTGTATGTGTATGCATATATGTGTGTGTCCATGTAAATGCATGTATGTGTATGTGTGTGCATGTGCATGTGTATATGTATGTGTATGCATGTATATGTGTGTCCATGTACATGCATGTGTGTGTATGTGTGCAGTGTAGCACACTCTGCTGCCTGTTTGAGCACCCATGTGGAGGGGAGATGAGAGAACATGTCAGGGTAGCCAGGAAAGTTCAAGGGGTGATTTTCATATGAGTGGTTTTGCCTGACCCCTCATAGGATTCATGTGTCTGGCCACTGATTTTAACAGCAGTCTGAATTATAGAGTCACTTTTTAGAGCAGAGGCTGCCTGCTGCTGGTCTCTCCTCCTGCCCTGCTCACTCCCTTTCTGAGTCGTCAGCCTCCTTAGCTCATAAAACCAGCAAAGAAGTTGCATATGGATTTTGATTGTTCAAGTTGTACGCTGGAGTTTCATAAAATCCTGATTAGGCTACCTTTCTCTGAACCTCAGAAAGCCCTCTTTGATATCTTTATCTTTGCAAATCAACCTGACAAGTGCAAGGCCCTGAGTTTGATCCCTAGGATCAAATCAATCAATCGATAGATCGATCTATCAGAAGCGTTAGTGTCCTGGGAGGGACATCTAAAAATGAGGCCTCTCATTAATACAGGATGTTTTTGTATCCCTCATTGAAATGGTACTAGAGGTGGGGTGCTGTCTAGAGGGGACATAATCTTGAAGGATATATCTCTCTGCTGCTCAGAGGGGGAGAGAAGGAGAGAAAGATGAAAGACATCTGCCAGTAGTGTCCCTGGCAGCTTTCATCATGGGACCTAAATAGCACATCTCAGCATCTGCCTAGTCCAACACACTACAAGTGCCTGCAACAGTGGCTAGTCAGAGGTATTTGCTGCATGTGTACATGTGCGTACCTCGGATACTGTTCTATTACTGCGATGAAACACCATGACCAAGGCAACTTATAAAAGAAAGCATTTGATTGGAGCTAGCTTTGTTTCAGAAGATTAATCCATGATCAGGAATTGAGGCAGAACACAGGCAGACATGATGCTAGAGAAGTAGCTGAGAATACACAACAGATCCACAAGTTGTAGACCAAGAGAAAGACAGACACTGGGCCTGGTGTGGGCTTATGAAATCTCAAAGCCTATCTCCCAGCAACACACTTCCTCCAACAAGTCCATGTCTCCTATTCCTTACCAAACAGTTCCACTAATTGGAGACCAGGCATTCAAATATAGGAGCCATTCTTATTCAGACTATTCAGTTCATATAGGGTATATCCAGGTGGTGGGCGGGGTCTGTGCATGAAGGCCAGAGATCAACCTTGCCTACTGTCTTCAGAAGCCATTCACCTTCTTTTTGTTTTTTAAATCTTCATATGTGTTTAGGTATTTCTGTGTGTAAATGAAGGTACACTCATGCCATAATATGCATGCCATAGTCAGAGGGACTACTTGAGCGTCTATCATGGCCTTCCACTTTGTTTTGAGGCATGGTCTCTTGTTGTTCATCATCACATTCACAAGGCTAACCTGCCTCAAGAGCTGCCAGGAACTCCCCTAGCTCTGCCTCCCACTTCTCCTTAGGAGCCCTGAAATTATAGATCTACATTAGTGTTGTCTGGCTTTCAGTAGGTTCAAGGGATTTGAATTCGGGTCCCATGCTTATACAGCAAGCACTTTACTGATTGAGTCCCTGCTTAATATGTTTTTGACAGGGAGATGAACAAGCTCTTACATTACATACCACGGTTGCAATCCTATATTTTAACCTACAAAGGACATGTTATCTCCATGATCTTGGAGCACATAAACAGAAAGAAAACAGATATTCACTGCTTCAAATACCTAACACTAAATACAGAGAGACCAAAAGACCTCTGCACAGTCCACTTACGCAGGGGTGCTATTTGCCAACAAAGGGATCCTTCTGTACATGGAGTCATCCTCTCCCTGGTATCGACTATGCCCTTGGATATGGGCCTGCCTGCACAGAATGCAGCGTAAACATGCTTCCATTCAGGGTACGCTCTTGGCAGGTCTTCTTCAGTTAGCCATGCCAGCCTCTCAATTTGGCATCTCTGTCTTCCAGAGAGTGATCTAGGCTCTTGATTCTACACAGGTGACTCCTCAGAACCTAAACCAAGTCCTCTTCAGTTATTTGTGTTTCTTTGCACAGATGTTAACATTTATTCAGATGACAATTCCCTTAAAGCTGAACAAAATCTACAGTGTTATTCTAGTTTCATTTCTGTTGCGTTATAAAATACATTGATACAAAAGCAGCTTAAGAGGAGAAAGGGGTTTATTTCAGCTTACAGTTCCATTGGTGTGGGTAAGTCAAGGCAGGAACTTTAAACAGCTAGTCACATCACATCCACAGTGAAGACCAGGGAGAAATGAATGTGTTCATGCTTGCTTGCTTGCTTGCACTAAGTTCTATTTCTTTACTCTTATACAGGTCAGTGCCCCTTGCCTAGGGAATGGTGTCACTCACAGTGGACTGAGTCTTTCCACATCAATTAACCTTACTAAGACATATGGATATATCTTCCACAGATATATCCACAGGTTAATGTAAACAGTTCCTCACTGAGACTCTCTTCCCAGACAATTCTATGCTATTCGAAGTTAACCATTAAACTGATCATCACAAGTGTTAAGCTCAAGATTTTAAAGTGTGTCTTAAGAAATTAAAGTAAAAAGAGATGGTCAAAAAGTGTCTCAGAAGCAGGAAATCTGTGAGTACACACAAGCAACCTGTAGGATCTACAGCCTGAAAATACCAGGGCCTCACAGAAGACCCCAAGCAGCTATGTATGCAGCAACCCTGGGTGTAATATGCATTGATATGTTTACTAAGTCTCTGGTCCACTTTCCCTTGGCACATCTCAAGATGGACACAGCTATTTGATTTGTTCTGGCCAATGAAATGAGAATGAGAATAGTTTAATTTTTTTGCGTGTGCTATAACTGAACACTGCAAGTCAATTCTCTGCTTGCATGTATGAGTGTGCATGCATATGCTCTGTGTGTGTGTGTGTGTGTGTGTGTGTGTGTGTGTGTGTGTAATGCACCAAGGCACACGTGTGGAGATCAGTTCTCTCCTTCTACCACATGGGTCCAGGGAATAGAACTCAGATCATCAGATCTCACTGACATCACAGTATTTCACCTTAGTAAGCCTGGAAGGATCCCTTACCGCTGCTTCCCATGTGCATCCCACATGGTTCATTGTCTCCCCCAGTTGCCCTGCTCTCTCCCTCAACCATCCCAGTCGCTGTCTCTGCTCATCTAAGAGACTCTAACTTTCTGCAGCCTGTCAGTCACCAGTGACTATGGCCCTGGTTCCTCACGGTTGCTCAGGAACTAACCTTTCCCATCAATCCTGCTTCAGAACACAGCCCAGGCTGCTTCCTTGAGCAACTCTCTACCCACTTCTCCCTACCTGATCTTACACCCTCCTCCCTGCCCCTCATCTGTCTCAGAGATAATTTATTCCCCCAGGGCAAAAGGAAAAAGTTGAGTCTGTCTTGCTTTAAGACTCGTGGTTTTGGCGAGATCGTTCCCCCCCCAGTTTCCTGGCTTCAGTAAATGGCTCTCACTGCCTTTAAAATGTGACTCAAAACTCACCTCCTGCAAGGAACATTTCAGGATTGGTTGCACATGAATTGTTGCATTTGCTGCCGTGGCCCCCTGGAACTCAGCTATTCAAGAGACTGTGTAAACGTCCCCTTGTCGCCGGGTTCTTTTGTTGCTGTGTTCTTTGGGTTTCTAGGCGGCCTTTTCAGATAGATTTTACATGTGAGATTAGGAGGAAGCACTCGGTGCTGACATACTGAGAAATATTAAAATAGCTTACCCTAGGAACAATAACAAGGTCACTGCCTTGGAACCTTCTGAGGCCAAAATTTCCGTTTCTTCAGGGGTTTGACAAATACACAGATCTCTATATCACAGGCTCCACAACAGGCATTGGGAACTAGCTTAGGTGACAGATTTTCTATCCTGATGCCATGTTTATTGTAACCCAGTGTAATGACCATGTGTATTTATGGGGTACACCACAGTGTTTCAGCATGTGGATATAAAGTGTATTGCGTCCCATCAGATAGCCAGCTCTCTCGTCTCTTATTACTTCTTCATGTTTGGATATTTTCAGCTCCTCTCCCCTAGTTCTCCGTGACGTACGTAGAAGGTTGGGAGCTGGAGACAGGGCTCAGTGATTAAAATATTTACTGTACTAGCATGAAGATCAAAGTTTGGATGTTAGAACCCATGTAAATGCTAAGTGAGTGTGCAGCCCTGAGCTAGCTAGTGAGTCTGGATTTGCTGAGAGAGCTTTCCTCAGTGAGTAAGGCAAGACAGCTAACATTAATGATGTTTGAAAAGCCATGTGAAAACCTACTATTTTATAAACTTCATATATGTGTGAGTTTATTTGGAGTTATCCTACATCAGGAATAATGCTCCTCCAAGAAGCCATAGGCTGCCCAATACAAATCTCAGTGGTAGGTGTTCAACATCTTCCCCATTGAGTTGTTGGTCAGGATGCCCTGGAAACCCGTAGACCAATACTAACTATTACTACTGCTCTTGCTTGCTCACCAGAACTTGATGGTAAGAACCTACTGCTGAAGATACCACAAACATTGGTCACAGGGTACGGAGAGATCAAACCAGTACTGACCAAAAAGCTTCCTCCATTCTGGTAGCTTTCATAGTACGGGAGGAGCTATGCAGCCTGCTGAGAGTGCAGCAGGGGCAATTGTCTAGTGATTTATCCATCTGTGATGTGAACCCTGTGAACTACCATAATGGCCCTGAGTGCAACACTTCCCTGAATGTTATGGAGGTGATTAACTGCTTTCTGTTTGGATTTAAGGCTTGCTATACAGGAATAAATATATACCTGATACTATAAATCTGGTCAAGAAACCATGGTTTGGAGAGTTCATAGTCCCCAGGAGTGAAGCTACCACTATTATTTTGCTAAATGAGCATCTGATCAGAGGTGTGTGTGTGTGTGTGTGTGTGTGTGTGTGTGTGTCGATGGTAATTAATGCAGAAAGTCACAAATGAGGAGTGGGGGGCCACACAGAACATTTTGGTACAGCATTGGGCCTGCTGCTACCAGTGGCCTGGGCTGCTATGGGAGCCCAGCTGAGGTGCCCTTCCTCCCCATGTCCCCATGTCCCCATGTCCCTTCCCCTCCCCTACTTCTCTGTCCTGTTACCTTTTCTCCTCTTTTCCTAATCCCACCCTTCTCTCCTCCCTAATCCTATCCACAGTGAGATATTTGAAAACAAAACCAAGGTGCTTCAACCCATCCCGTTGTAAAGAAAACATATGAAAAACACACTTAGGCTCTCCCCCCACACACACACACACACAGTGCATGCTTCAAAACATCATATTATGCTCCACAAATATATATACTAAAAAAACATGCACACACTCATGAAGGAGAGCTAAAAGCTATGAAGTAGGTCGCCTAGGGTTAGAGTATTGAACTGAGAAAAATGACACTCTGCTGCACAGTTTGTCTGCTAGCTACATGAGTCACATGATTCCCTAGTTCATAATGACATTCATGCTGTTGCCTTTGTCCTTCAATGTGCCATCAACTACACCTCTCCTGAAAGGGATAAAAGGAGGGAGAGTTGCCTGAATGAATCAGCAAAGGAAGGAAGGAAGGAAGGAAGGAAGGAAGGAAGGAAGGAAGGAAGGAAGGGAGAAAGGGAGGATGGAGAGAGGAGAGGAGGATGGAGGGAGGAAGGGAGGGAGGAGGGCAGAGGGAGGAGGGAAGAAGGAGGGAGGGAGGGAGGAAGAAGGAAAGAAGGAGAAGGGATGGAGGGAGGAAGATTGAACAGATGCTTAGACAATGCAGGAAAGGCTGAGATGGGCGTTTGCCCAGATCATTCTGTAGTTTACTCAGTCTCTTCTGCCTTGGGGTCTCGTTAGTTTGATTGCCCTCAAATCCCTTTATGTGGTTAGGTTTTTCCTTTTCCTGAGGCTCCTGCCCACACTAAGTCACTTTCTAAGACCAGAATGGGAATATGTGTGCATCCTTTCGTAGCCTATCCAGACTGGAGCCGAGAAGTCATTTTCCCTGTTGCCTCCAAAGAAGAGGGTTCAGAAAAGCTTAAGGAGTCTACACTAGAGCCCACACCTCAACCTCTTTGAAGCCACAGGATCCTGCCTTGGCATCTTTCATGAATATTTCTATAGCAGTCTCACTGACTCTCAGGATCTGTAAGGTAACTGACAAAGGAAAGGAGAACTCATTTGAACGCATCCCATTTTATCCACTGTGCGACCTTGGATTCTCTGTTAGACTTTCATACACTAGCTGAGGTAAGATTCTGAAAATATTAACATACCCCAGGCCTCAACACAATATAATGTACTAGGAGTGATAATCATAGCAGCAATACCCACCAGGGTTTACAAGCCAGGACTAAAACATCATGTAATGAAAATCCACAGCCTTCCATCTGTGGAAGCAAAACACGAGTCTGAGCTCAGTTCCACTCAGATTTTCATAAGCCCCAAGGACAGGCAGGTCATGCTGAAGTGCAGAAGGGCCTCAGCAGGAACAGCAATGGCTTAGTCTCCTTGCCTTTCCTCCATCTCTTCTTGCTGTGCACTGTGGCTGTTGACCGCAGTAGACCGACAGGGTATGAGGTCACCTGAAAAGCTTCTCCTGCAGGGTTGAAATAATTCCAATAGACAGAAATTTAAGTAGTAAGAGGGAAGGAAGGAAGGAGGAATTTGAGGGGAAGAAGGGAGGGAAGGAAGGCAGGGGAGAGAGGGGAGGGAGAAAGAAGAGAGAGGGAGGAGGGAAGGAGTTATAGAGGTAGAAGGAAGTTTGAGGAAAAGGACAAGACTACAGTCATCTGGTTTGGAAACTGTTCATAAATCTTTTACTTCTGGGTCACATCGGCAGCTCTGTGAACAACAAAGGTCCCAGTAGCTAATTTGGTTGTAGTGTTGATGGACATGTAATCTGAGTTGGAAAACCACTGACAGTCCCTCAGCCTAGCAGGGCCTCTCATCTCTGACACCGTCGGGGTCACCACTTACAGTAGACTGGAACTTCACATCATCTCCTCAGGTCTTGTCTGGTTTCGAGAACTGGATTGAAAGTCCCTTCTAGGACCTGTCCTTCTCTGAATATGCATGATAATTTTATCCTTTGACAATATGAGGGCACTTGGTATTACTCCCCTTCCCTGACTCTTCTTTTCCTGATGTTTTAGAACCTTCTCCTCTCCTTGAGCTGCCAGTGTCCTCCCTTGGCAGCTTGCTTGGAGCCAGCATATTCTCCAGCACTAGTGTTCTAATCATGGAAATAATTGCCTGGTAAAGGTGAGCCCTGCTAAACACCCTGAATCTGGAAGGCAATGTCAAGGAGAATGAGTCCTAAACAGTGTGGGGATTCACCTCCACTGAGATGCTGGACCCATGCCTGGCAAGCTTACCACTGGCTCGCCAGCTAAAGAATCATCTCTCTTCCATTTCTCCTCCCAGATTCCATCAGACGCCAAGGCTTGTCTTGGCTAGTACTACCGAGATATTAGCCAGTGCTGTCTCATCCACTAGAGAGAATGCCCAGGGCATCCTGGACCATAAGTATCTGTGAAAAATCAAGAAATGTGACTTTATTAGTCTGCTATGCCCTTAAAGGTCACCAGGCATGACTGATAGGGTCTGCTCTGGCCAGTAGCATAGACAAGCCCTTAGTCTGGCTCTGAGTTTAGTCTTCTTAGGCTCAAGTCCAAGTTCATGCATGCTAACCTACAAGGTTACTAGAAAGTTAAGTTCCCTGAACCTCCCTTATTCATGGGTCGGACGTGAGAAGCTTGTGCAAAGGCCACAGCAGGTGATTAATCTCGTCGTTTATCGTTGCTGCCTCCGTTACTCTTGGAACACGTTATGTTAAAGAAACAGTAATTAAGCTGCACACTTAGTCCAACCAAATGTTAGCGATTAAAACAATAGGTTCACTTTCATAGAGTAGGAGCTATAAGCAACATTCCAGGCACTGCGACAGGGGGCCAGTGGGTGTCAATGTTAACTCATGTTTTCAGCAATGTTCCGAGGTAAGTATGCAAATTATCCCCTTTCTATGTAAAAGAAATCAAGAGTTGGAGAGAGTAACAGTCATCCCAGAGACAGTCAGGTACCCTTCTCTTATTTATTGAATTCAGTTTGTGTGTGTGTGTGT